TACAGTAGAGCAGTAGCCAATGGCAGGTTAGATACACATTTTGCTGCTACCTGAAGGTCATCAGGTATTTCAGGTTCCGTAAATCTAGAGGAAAGCCACTACTTAGTAAATCCATGTCATTTTACGTTTCCTTACGTTAGAAATGCACGACTCTGACACACAAGAGAGACAAATTTCCTCATCATTTCCATTTACTTTTGCACAAAAGGGTGAAATGCCATTATTCTATTCAAAACTCCGCAGGCATCCCCTCCAGGGAAGTTCCTAGGCTTTGATGCAAATCCAAACCTTCCCTCTTCCTTGTCAAGGAGCTTGGCTCACAGTCTAAGTACAGTTGATAAGTACAATTGATAAGTACCAAGATAAGAAAGGGGCCATTCCCTAATTCCTGTCACAGGTTTATTTTTCTTTTCACTTAGCAATTATGAAAGTATTATTCTAACTTCATCAATGCTTTATCACTCTTAACTTGGCTAGCTGGTAACAGTGCCAATAGCAGTACAGGTAACAGTTACAACTGAGGTAAGTAAAGAAAATATTCCACAAAACCAAATACACTTTCGCCTGACAAAAAAAAAAAAAAAGAATACATTTTCTTATACCCAGGAATAGCTGGCCTTGTAGTTTTAGGATACGTACTTCTAATTCAAGCCTTTCAACTTCTACCACAGTTGGATATAAGCACGTATGAACTTACGTACTGTCAGTTGTGTGTTTTAAATGTGTACATAAATGCAATCATCCCACACAGAACTTCTTGCTCTATTTTCTCAGTGTTACATTTTTTTTCAAGATTGGTCCATTATAGATCCATGTAGCGCCATAGTTCATGTAAACAGCTGTGACATACTCTTGGATTTTTGTTCCACAATTTATATATTCCTTTATTGATCGATTACTAGATTTTTTTAAACTTTTCACCTTTACAGATTTTACTGCATCTTTTATTTACATTTGTCTACTTGTGCATGTGAACTAAAGTAGAATTTCTGGGCTTTCTACAGATGTGGTGTCTGAACAAGCTTCATGCTGCTATAACGTAATTCCATAGACAGGGATAGCCATTTGTTTTATAGGGAATAGACATAGTTCTCTCACAGGTTCTGGATGGTGGGATGCCCAAAACCAGCAGACTAGTTGTCACTTCACATGACAGAATGCAGAAGGGCAAGTGGGTTGAAAGTTATGTGAAGCCTCTTTTAATTCCTTTCCTCATGGCCTCTCAAAGACCCTGCTCAGTAACATCATATTAGCCATTAAGTTTAAACGCCTCTGAACCCAATTTTGAAGTCTTTAACTTTACTGTCACTAAACCATCCAAAATGATTGCACCAGTGACATACACTCAACCCACAGCCTAGACTCTCTCCCTCTGCCCTCACCTTTCCTAAGTGGTAGCTGGGCATAGGGGAGAGATGACAGGAGGAAAGAAAGATGACAGCTGGACAGACAAGGAGGAAGGGGCAGTCATGGGGAGCATTTGGCAGGAGGATGTGCTCAGCTGCAGCTGTGTGGAAAGCAAGTAAGTGGAAGCCTGAAAAGCATGGAGATGTCAGTGACCTGACTGAGGACTCCACTAATGGTGGTGGGGAGTGAACCAGCAAGTATGGCCATGTTTTGATGAGGTTTGACTGTGGAGGGGAGGAGAAAGGATGTGGAATTAGAGGGGCAGGTGGAGTGAACACAGTAATCAGAGCAAGTTCTCATGCTGAGAGAAGTTTGAGAGGGAAAAAGGCTGGCTAAGGATCCTGAGAGGATGAGGAGGATAGACCCGGGGAAGAGTAAAAGAAGTGGCTGTTCTTAAGAGGAAAAACAGTGTTTACTGTGAGAGGAGAGGAGAGGTGTATGAATTTGGCATGAGGACTCGAATAGATTCCTACTGAGGATGTTTATTCTTTTCTTTGCCAGTCCTGGGGCTTGAACTCAGGGCCTGGGCACTGTCCCTGTGCTTCCTTTGCTCAAGGCTAGCATTCTACCACTTGAGCCACACTGCCACTTACAGCGCTTTCTGTTTATGTGGTACTGAGGAATCGAGCCCAGGGCTTCATGCATGCTAGGCAAGCACTGTACCATGAAGCCACATTCCCAGCCCCCTATTGTGGGTGTTTATTCTAACACAGGAGAGATTGTAGGCTGGCAGTGAGGGGTGAAATTTTGAAGACAGTCAGATTTGAGGTGATTATTTCAGAACATGAGAGAAGGACTGAGCAAAGAAACATGAATCTGGGCAGTGGTGGACACTTAGGTTCAGGGTGTGGCTATGAATTTAGGGTTGTCTGAGATGGTCATCTGTGACAAAAGTCACTGAGCACTGAACAAGTGATTCTATAAAGTACCAGCACTGGGAAGAGGCAAATAATATGCTCAGATCTGTGCATATTATCTTCCACATATTTGTGTCAGAGAGGAAGGACCCTGGAGAGCACACTCACAGAGATCTGATGACAGTGGGCATTTAGAGTGGAATTCATATTGAGGAATTCCCTTGGCAGAGTACCACTATGTCTTTATCTGAAGCTTTCCTACTAGGTCTTCCTGTGTCTTTCATGTATTATGACAGCTTCTAGATTATAAGGAGATTTAAGAACACTTGGGACAATACTTCGTTATGCAGGAGCCATGTTTGAACTTAATGACTTAGCTAAAGCCTTACCAGATCATTCCATGTTCAGGAGTTCTTACCTTTTGGGACCATGAGTAAAGGGAATAGAGCAGACACAGCAATGTAGTAAAGTTTATAAACCTTTTCTACAGATGTCTTAAAATGCATCAAATAAAAGAGAAATCAGCTGGGTGTCAGTGGCTTACACCTTTAATCCTGACTACTTAAAAGGCTGAGATAAGAGGATCATGGTGCCAAGGCAGGAAAGTCCATGAGACTCATATCTAATGAACTATAAAAGAAAAAAAATCAGAAGGGGAGCTGTGGCTCAAGTGGTAGAACACTAAAGCTCAGGGATAGCATTCAGGTCCTGAGTTCAAGCCCCAGAACTGGCAAAAAAAAAAGGAAGAAATATAAAGAAATCAGTTACAATTAAAGTTATAAGACTTTTAAAATTTCATATAATGATATATGCTTTCCAAATAATCTAGTAGCTAGATTTTTGAAGTGATAATGAGCACAAACAATATTTTAATATAGTTTACTGTTATTATTAAGGAATTGTACAGCGAGCTTACCATTTCATAAATCAGGTAATGAGTACATTTTTTATATCACCCCTTCCTTTGCTTTACCCCCAGTCTCTCCCACATAAACAATATCTTAAGCCATAAGCAGCAACTCAGTATAATAGCTATATTTCTTTGAGGGCAGAGTCACAGATAGTGCTAATTCTACCTTATCTTGCTCACACTCGTAATAGCAAGAAATGTTGTATTTTGGTGAGAGCTTCAGTGAAATAAAATATTTCCCCATCCCATCTAAGGTCATGGATGTTCTTTCTCTGTCCACAGTGCAACAGAACTCTGGTCAGTCCTGTAGGAAACAGATCAGAATTGAGCTCCAAAAAGTATTTGGCAAGACATAAATAACCATTATTCCATTCAAGTAGCAATTGCTGCTCTGTACAAAAAAATGTGATGATGTGGTGCAATGGGTTATAACTGTGGAAAATCATTTTGATGGAGTGGACACCAAAGCCACAGCAACCACAGTCAACCCCAGAGGGCAGGGGACATCAGAAACCAGCCGAAATCCCAGCTGTGCACTGACAGGCAAGGAGAGCACACATTTCCTCGATCCTATTAAAGAGAACAGACAGAGTATGTTTTAATGCTTTGGCTGAAACCGGATTCCATTCACTTAGCATATAGTCACTGTCTTACAGAAAGCATCTTCAGTAATCACACTCTATGTTGTATGCCATGTCTTACCTTTCTAAGCACATTCCCTCTGAAATCATCACTGTGTTGAGCTGTCATATACTTTGGCAGCAGCAGGATTGAGAGTAAGTGGCTCTCAGTTGTGTCATCAGGAAATAGGTATTATCATTAAGGTCCACCTGCTTGTTGAGTTGCTCAGTGGTGGGTTTTCTTTTAAAGATTAACTTATGTACAAAGATGACATAAAAGACAGAAAGGATTTTATAGTGGGTTTGGTGAAGTAAATAATCTCCCCTAGAAATAAGAAATTCAAGCAATTCATTTGGTTATGTGTTTTGTTTCATGCCAGTCCTGGGGCTTGAACTCTGAGCCTGGGTGCTGTTCCTGAGCTTTTGTGCTCAAGGCTAATACTCTACCACGTGAACCACACCTCTGCTTCTGGCTTTTTAGTAGTTAATTAGAGATACAAGTCTCAGACTTTCTTTCCTGAGCTGCCTTCAAACTGTAACTTCAGATCTTAGCCTCTGAGTAGCTAGGATTACAGGCATGAACCATGGATGCCCAGCTATTGTTTGAAAATGGTTAGGCAAGTTCCATAGCACTTTGGCACAATTTGTTGGTTCATGCTTTCATTCATCAGAATTCATTGGGGACACACATAAGACTACAGCATCTGCACTGGGCAGAATTGCTTCAGGTATCTTCATGTATCAGGTCCCTTCTCTGTGTTTCCACTCTTTCCCCCAGTGTATTTTCTTTGTGGCAGCAGCTACCTTTTTCTTCTTTCAGTCTCTTGCATGTTTCTTCTCATCCTGAGCTCCATTTTCCCCTTATTTTCTCTTTTTCTGGCTAGTTTATTTAAAGCATCTAATGCTGGTAAAGGAGATTCAGACAGTGATAAACTAATCTATGTTTAGAAGATACCTAAAGTAAGCTTCCTTATTTAGGTGATATGAAATGTAAGAATGGAGCTGGGATGTAGCTCAGTGGCAAAGCGCTTGCCTAGCAAGTGCAACGTCCTGGGTTCGATTCCCAGTACCAAAAAAAAGAAAAGAAAAGACAAAAAAATACAGTTAAAAAAAATGTAAGAACGGACTATCAGACTATTTCCAAAGAGACTCATCTTTAAATTTCTCCCTTCTTTCTTCTCTGTTTCATTGGACTGTTTCCTAAAGCTAAGAAGAAACTTCCCAAGTTGCCTGTCTTCATGGAAAATTCCTCCACATGTCCTAAAATCTTCCCAGTCAGAAGCTCTACTCAAACTAAAGAATAATGAACTGTCCTGCGCACCACTGCAGATGTTTTCAGATGAAGAGAGGATGATGCAGGAAGTCGGTCAGTGTCTCCCCGCTGTTCCCACTGCGTCACTCCTCTGGTCATTTCTTGGGTCTATCATATGCCATGACATATGACAGTAGAAGATATGCTCATCTAAGTTTATGAATGGGGTTTTGCTGTTTTTGTTTGGTTTTTGTTTATTTGGTTGGTTCTTTTGGGGTATTCTTTGGTTTGGTTTGGTTTTTGTTTTGCCTTTGAAACAGTCTCACTATGTTGTTCAGGCTAGTCTCAAAAACCCCTGGCTCAAGTGATTCTCTTGCCATAGCTTCCCAAGTACCTGAATTACAGGTGTACCAATAAAGTTTTGTTTGTTTCTTTTTCTTTCTGGCAGTAGTGGAGATGGAATTTAGGTCCTTGCACTTGTTAAGTAGGCTCTCTATCACTTAGCTACCCTTCCAGCCCCATTTTGCATTGGTTTTCAGAGTTGGGATTCATGCCGAGCTTCGATCCTCCTACTTGTGCTTCCTGGTGCACTGGGATAACAGGAGCCCATGGCTACGCCCAGCCATTGTGCTTCCACATAGCTGGGTAGCTGTCCCTGGCCAGGGCACTCAGACAGTGGTTGAAATGGACTGTCAACGTTTGCCTTGCTGGCCTTGAACTATAGTGCCCCAGTTTCTGCCTCACAACTAATGATGATTATAGGCTTGAGCCACTTGAATGGAAGTAATACATGTCCAAACTGTGAAAAACAACAACAGCAGAATACAGGCTATCTCAGCATCTGTTCCCTGGTTCCCTAGAGTTTTCCAGAAGCTGCCTTTCCAGTTTCTTACATAGCTTTAGAGTGTGGGCCTGTAACTACCAGATAGTTGTTCAAGACCAAGTGTGAGAGCCCAAAAGGATTAGGAGTTTGGAATACCGTCTCCCAACATACTCTCAAAACACTGGGAGTTTCCTGGAAAGATCTATCAGCGAATTCAGATTTCTATCCTGGATGTTGGCTAACTCTACTCTAAACTGTGTGGGAGCCTGAGGGTAGATTTAGGATTATGCAAATTTTAAGCTTTTTACTGTTTAGCTCTGCTTCCCAGAATAAGGAGGTCATCGACCACTAGTGTACAAAATATTGCAACATGTTGAAATTTGTACCTTCCTGCACAAGACCAATAAAAACCTTGGTGAATGGAACCTTGGGATCTGAAGCTGGCGGAAGACTACAGGTCCCCTGATACCCCAAAGCTCAATTCCATGGTCTGGTCTCCGTTATTGCCTTGCTCCAGGTTGCAGCGGATTAAGGAGAATGCAGCCAGTAGCAAAACCAAGGGTACTGCTAACTATATGCAGGGTACAGACTTTGCACAACAAAGACTGTCCAGCTTCAAATCTCCATGGTGTGGAGATGGAAAAACATTGCTCTGGGTGGCCCTTGTTAGTCAGGCAGTGCTGGGTTTTTGCTGACCTGAGGAGGATCACAGTACAAAGCCAGCCCACACAGGGAAGTTCATGAGACTGTTATCACCAGTTAACCACCAAAAACCCGGAAGTGGAGCTGGGGTTCAAGTGGTAGAGTGCCAACCTTGAGAGAAAAAGCCCCAAGGGAAAGTACCTGGCCCTCAGTTAAAGCTCTAGTACTAGCACAAGAAAAAAAAAAAGGAAGAAGAAGAAAGAAAACCCCTATATGTGACCATGTATCTATAAAAAGGCCCATGTTAGTTGGTATCGAGATATAAGTGGAGAAGCCAGGCATGATGGCTCACTCTTGTAATACCAGGTAGGTGAGAAGTATAGGTAGGAGGATTGCAGTCTGAGGCCTGCCCAGACAAAAATGCTAGATCCTATCAAGAAAGTAATTAAAGCAAACAAGGGCTGGGGCACAGCTTACCTGAAAGAGTACTGATCAGCCAGTGGGAAGTCCTGAGTTAAATCCCAGTACCACAATAAAGAGGAGGGGCAGTAGAGTGGAAGTTCAATGTGTCTTAAGATTCCTTTGTGGGGGGCTGGGAAGGTGGCTCAGTGGTAGAGCGCTTGCCTTGCATGCGTGAGGCCCTGGGTTCGATTTCTCAGCACCACATAAGCAAAAAGAAAAAAGCCAGAAGTGGCGCTGTGGCTTAAGTGATAGAGTGCTAGCCTTGAGCTGAAGAGCTGAGGGACAGCGCCCAGGCCAGAGTTCAGGCCCCACGACTGGACACCCCCCCCCAAAAAAAAATATTCCTTTGTGTAAGATAGATATGTAGATAGATAGATAGATAGATAGATAGATAGATAGATAGATAGATAGATAGATAGATGCCTGTGTAGATAGAGTTTTCAAAGAAAAGTTTTCATTAAAAATAGACTTTAAATTAGTTGTATTTGGGGATGGCAAAGATAGCCAGTGTGGAGAATAGGCCTTCATTTTTTTCATGTTTTATTTTATACTTTTTGCAGTATTTATATTTTTGTACCACATTATATTTGTTATTCATTCTTTAGTGTCCTCAAGGGTAATAAAGGGGTATAGAGGAAATTATGTTTTTGTGTTTTTTTTTTAGTTCACAAGTTCTAATTTAAAGGAGTTAGTGTGCCCATTTAACTTACCTGTCTAAAAGTACAAATTTGTCAGCAAACTGTTAATGAATTGTTATAACCTTGACTAAAATGACTGCTGCTTGAGTGTATGTACACTGACCAGCAATTGTTTTTCCTACAGTTAAGAAATTTGCCCAGGACCAAGTGGCTCCTTTGGTTTCAACTATGGATGAAAACTCAAAAATGGAAAAGTCAGTAATACAAGGATTATTTCAACAAGGGGTATGTATCTCATAATCCTCCCAACATCAAACATTTGTAAATACATTCTGTGTGAAATGTCAAAAATATCTGTTCTCTTTTTTGATTGGGGTCCTAATTCCCTGTTACTATTTATATGATTAAGGATTCTTAATTGAACTAACATTTTAAATTGGAAATAGGCTTTGTAATATAAGGAAAATGAGAGAAATATTTCTATAGACCTGTAGTTCTTAACTTGGAGCAGTTTTGCCCTCCCAGGATCAGGCTGCTGGCATCTGGGGATAGAGGAAAGGGAGATTACCAAGCATCCTACAGTGTACAGGACAACTGTTGCAACTAAAACTCATCAGTTGCTGCAATACAGCATATACTTGGCCTGAATCCCTGTGTATATGGCAAACATGGATCAGGACAACAGGTTTCCTACTTTTTAGTGAAACAACAACATATCATGTAGATTAAAGTAGAATTGCTCTGGCTGTGGCCAGGGAGAGGTGATTGGTATGGGGACTCCAGGAATGTTTTAAATATCACGACCTCCACTCCTGGTCTCAGCCTTGTCCAGACGTGCAAAGGAATTTGGGTACTAAGGATATCCTAGAGCTAATCACTGCTTTTGAAAGAGTATGGACTGAAATCTCATGTCATTCTGTTTGAAAAATAACCTCTGCCACTTAGCTGTCTCATTTCATTCTGTCCTGTTTTAAGGTGATCAGCTTTTGATGAGTTTTCCAATTTTACGTTGCCAGTAAAACTTTTGGAAAGTAGAAAATAGCATAGAGCCACACAGGGCCAAACAGAAGTCCAATATGGAAGGCAGTTGGATTCCATGATCATTTCACTGCCATTGTTCCCAGCTCTGGGCTTGGAAACTGCTGTCCTGTGGCCAGGTAGTTCTGTGGCCAGAGCACTGAGCACCCAACAACAGTCTTCATAAACTGCTCTTGCTTATAGTAGCCCTGACTCCTGACTCTACTGACCCAGTTCCTCGGTCATCTGTCATGTAGTTCTTCTGGAGGAGAAACGACTGTCTTCACAGTAGGAATGTCTGACAGCACCTCGAGATAATCCAGTAGCTATCCTGCCTTTCGGTCTTGCAGCACATCCATTTCCCTCCAAGTCTTCCACAAAGCATCACTTCTGGTTATGTCACATTTTATTCATTTTTTTCTTCCCCCATGTTGTGGTTCTTGTCAGCTAAGTCTTCCAAGCTGCAGACTGGAGCAATTCCAAGTACCTGGAGAAGAGTAGGAGCCTTAGCCTATATCTGTGACCTGGATCTTGAGTCATATATATACACATCTCCCATTCTGAAATGAGAACACTTACAAATGGAGTAGGACCAAGGACGTTTCATGTTGTAGACTTAGAAATGGAGACTGCACAGCCAGCCTTGCTCAAGATTATTGGTACACCTTAGCCCACACTGGGTCATGATTATCTGTGGCTTATCAAGTATGTCTCTAGTGAATGTCAGCAAGAACGTAGTCTGGTAACCATCCTGGACTTTCTAAAATGGCCCCCAAATGATCATTCAGTCATTATCTCTGCCAAAAAAAAAAAAAAAAGTCCAAGTGGAAGAACCTGCTAGAAGAAACTAGGCAAAGAAAACTGTAAATATTGCCTCAATGGCTTGTTACTTTTCTGCCTTTACTTATTACATTCAAGTCAGTGTTAAAGGGACTATGTTAAAAGACCAGACACTTGCTATAGTTCTTGACATGAAGGGCCACACAGTGTGTGCGTGTCAGGTATTTTCTCATTCCATTTGCTTGTTTCACAAGGACTTTACCTCTTAATTTTGCTCTTTGCAGCTGCCAAAATCAATCAAATGATAGTTATATCATGTAATGTTGTCCTTTTCAAAAACCCAAAAGTTTTTGTTATAATTTTATTACTTATAGGAAAATAGCCATGCTGAATTCAAAGGTACAATTTATTTTTAAACTTCCTCTCACAAGAAGTTCCCAGTACAAAATCAGCTTGTTAACCTGCCCCTTTGCTTTCCTCCAGCTGATGGGAATTGAAACGGATACAAAGTATGGAGGAACAGGAGCTTCATTTTTTTCCTCTATCCTAGTGATAGAGGAATTAGCCAAAGTCGATGCATCTGTGTCTCTCATGTGTGACATCCAGAACACAGTAATTAACAAGCTGATTACAAAACATGGGACAGAAGAGCAGAAGGCCACCTATTTGCCCATTCTGGCTTCAGAAAAAGTGAGTTGAAAGAAATTGTTGAAATAGATGGTCTTTTCCAAGTTTATAATGTTTTCAGAAGAAAAATAGTTGCACGTTGACTTTTATTACCCAAGACCACAGTTCAAGTAATCACATAATGTTCAGTAAGTTGAGCCTTTTAGAAAAACGTACTCTGTTCTTCATTTCCCACTTGGAAATTTAGGAAATAATCCTTAGATAACTTCTTTTTAGCCAGGAATGGTTGTGCAGACTCGTAATTCCTGCACTCCAGAAGCTGAAACAGGAGGATTGCGAATTCAAGGCAGGAGGATTGGTAGTTTAAGGCTGGCCAAAGCTACATAGCAAGACTGTCTCAAAAAAAAAAAAAATAGAAAACTTGAAAAAAGCGGATTTTTGTGCCAATTCCATTTTCCAATGCCTTTGTTGGTCATTTAGTTAGAATTGAGATGGCTTTCTGCTATAATATTAGAAATAATTTAATCTATTTAAACATGTGGGATTTTTTGCCAGTCCTGGGGTTTAAACTCAGGGCCTGGGTGCTGTCTCTAAGTTCTTTTACCCAAAGTCAGCGCTTTACCACTTGAGCCACAGCTCCACCTCAAGCTTTTGAACCACAATCCTCAGATCTCAGCCTCCTAGTAGCTAGGATAATAGGTGTGAGCCACTGGTGTTTAGCTGGAATGTGTTCTCAAATACTTAAATTGTCTTAGGCAAAATAGGATTCTTTGGGGGAAATAATTCTGTCAAAATGCTATTTTGATCACAGGCTTTTTTAAAGTAGCTAAGGTATAAACTACAATGTCCATTTTACATTAGCATTTATTATGCAGAGGATAAATACAGTTGTTCATTTGATTTTCTTCTCACATATGTAGATAGGAAGCTTCTGCCTTTCAGAAGCTGAAGCTGGTAGTGATTCCTTTGCTTTGAAGACCAGAGCTGATAAAAATGGGAGTTACTATGTGATCAATGGGTCAAAGATGTGGATCAGCAATGCTGAATATGCAGGACTCTTCCTGGTTTTTGCAAATGTAGACCCTAGCTTGGTAAGTTTACAGCAAAACTTCTTTCCTCTCATCCTCCTCTTTTCTTCTTTCCACTTCCTGTTTAGGACTTTGTTTTAAATTCTTTGTTTTCCGCATTACTGAAAAATGTGAAACTTGTACTATCATTTTTTACTCTCTTATTTATACTCTTATTTACTCTCCTAAAATAAATATTGTCGACACAATTATCAATCCTATTGTAGACCATGTGTTACTTATCTAAGGTTATATAAGAAGCTAGTCTTTGCCAGGTGCTGGTAGCTCAGACCTGTAATCCTGCTATCCAGGAGTCTGAGATCATGGTTCAGAGCTAGCCTAGGCAGAAAAGTCCAAGAGACTCTTATCTCCAAATAGCCAGTAAAATTGCTCTACTGGATGGAGGTGTGGCTCAAGTGGTAGACCACCAGCCATGAACTTTAAAAAAGGCCAGTTGAGAACATGAGACTCTTAAATTCAAGTCCTGCTACTGGCAAAAAATAAAGAAGTTAGTCTTTAGTTTTGTGGAATTTAAATTTTTCTTTATAATAAAGTCTTTAAATATCTGTATAGTACATTTACTTCAAAATACTTTTTCAGTTGAAAAAAGACATACAGCACAATGCTAAACACATTTTTTTTGTCTTTTCACTAACATAGATATAATTACTTTGTTACAACTCTAAGATGGGTGCCAGCAGCCTATACCTGTAACCTAGCTCCTCAGAAGGCTGATATCTGAGGATTTTGGTTCAAAGCCAGACCAGGCAGGAAACATCTATGAGGCTCTTATCTCTAAGTAATCACTAAAAATCTAGAAGTAGTGTAACTCAAGTAGTAGAGCATTGTACTAGCCTTGAGCAAAAATGTTCAGGAAGTTAGGCACTGGTGGTTTATCCCTGTAATCCTAGTTCTCAGGAGGCTGAGATCTGAGGATTTTGTATCAAAGCCAGCCCAAGCAGAAAAAAGTCCCCATGAGACTCTTATTTCCAATTAAATTACTCAAAAACCAAAAGTAGAGCCATGGCTCAAAGTAGCAGCGTGCTAGCATTGAGCAAGAGAGCTCAGGGACAGCGCCCAGGACCTGAGTTCAAGTTCCACAACCAAAAAAAAGCTCAGGGACAGCATCCAGTCCTTGAGTTCAAGCCCCAGGACCAGCACGCACACGTGCATGCGCACACAAGCCCTCTAACCCTCGGCTCAGATAATGCCTTAATATGAAAATAATTTTAATATCTACTGCAGTTTCTGAAAAAGTAAAAGAAATGGTGAAGTTCTTGATTTGGTGGCTGATCATCTCTAATCTTTCTTGTCCATTTCTTTAGTTTTCATTTTATTTGAACTCTTATAATCAGGACAGTTTAAAAGTGCAAGTAGTGATGGCATTTTCCATCTTTTTAGGGCTATAGAGGAATCACTTGCTTCTTAGTAGATGGTGACACTGAAGGTCTTCACATTGGGAAACCAGAGAAGAAAATGGGCATCAGAGCTTCTTCCACCTGCCCGTTAACCTTCGAAAATGTCAAGGTGGGTACCTTAGGGTAATCAGCAAGGGACCATGGGAAATAAGCTTTGCACAGTAGGGAGGTGTGCAAGAGAGATGCCAGAACAGTGCGAGCAGTGGGCTTGCCCTAAGAGCTCCTCGCCAGTGCTCTGAGGTTAAGTCCGGGTCCAGGGCCCTTTCCACAGCAGTTCAGGCCCACAGCAATGAGAAGTAATCGCATTGATGTTTGTGCCTCACATACCTCTGAACCATTTATGCTTGATAAGCTTGGCATTGGTTAAGCAGATGCTTTCCCTCTTGGGCCATGAACCACACACAGCTTCCGAGAAAGGAGTCTGGTATCAGCACACCAAAGGCCACAAGATGGGGTTGTTGCTCAGTGAGAATGGAGTGCAACCTGGCAGTACCCCACAAAACCAGATTTCTCAAACGGGTTGTTGATAGATTGTCCAGTGCTCCTAGCAGACCTGCATCTTTGTGGGCATGTGCAGTGGGGGTGAGGGCAGGGAGGGGTTTAGTCTTTACACCGCTGTTGTTTGGGCCTCGCTGCTTCCCCTGCAACTGAATTCCCCCTTCCTATTCTTTGTTTTCTCCATTCTGCCCTGCTCCCTCTCCCAACTGACCCTATGACGAAGCTAAGTCTTTGTTGTTCCTAGTGTTAACTTTATTCATCTGTCTCCTTCCTTCATTTTTCTCCTCCTCCTTTGGGCCCATGCGCATGTACACACATGCACATACATGCGCACACATGTGCACACGCGCACACACACCTTTTGGTTGACAGTTATGAGGATGGTTCATCACAACAGAAGAAATGTTTCTTGCTCTCATTTTTGAAAGGTACTGCATTCTTTTTGGTAGTTCTTAATGTTATCTTTCCCTGTGAGTATATAGGCAGGAACCGGAGGAAGTAGTTCATTGGTATCATTGAACAGATTGTGCTGGGCCCTGGAGGATAACAGGAGTGGACAGCTTGGACTTGGGAAGCAGCATGGAGGGAGACCCAGGCATCAGCGGTGGTCTCACTGGAATTCAGTGAAGTACTGCATGGCAGTACAGCCGTATCATAATTGGGAGCATGCATTCAGAGGCACAGATACTAGTCACATCCATTATACACTATACTATATATACTATACTATATATACTATGCTATATACATATATATATAATATATAGTATATATATAGCATATATAGTATATATACTATATGCTATATGTAGTATAGTATAGTATATACTATATATAGTATATATATGTAGTATAGTATAGTATATATAGTATAGCTATACTGTATTCTATAGTATATTTAATATATATTGTGAAGATACATATTTACATGTTTATCCACGTACACACACACATATATGTGTATATACTTGAAGTGATTTTGTCAAATTAAATTGAGAAATAAAAACACACTTGTATCTCTAGGTTCCAGAAGCCAATATACTGGGACAAATCGGGCATGGCTATAAGTACGCAATAGGAAGTCTTAATGAAGGAAGAATAGGAATTGCTGCTCAGGTAAGTCAAATTCCATAATAGAACCTAATTAAAATAGAAAAAGGAATGCAGTAAGATCAGTGGGTATGTGGAAGCTTGTGAACACAAGATGGCGCTCTTCCCTTGCATGAGATGAAAGAATGGGTAGGTTCTGGTCCTTTTTCAAATTCCATTTGGTTAATTATTTATTGAGGAGCCAGAAAATGGCTGAATCATAGTTGTTTTGCTTTGAGAGCATTCAAGAATTGAGTACGTGGATCAGAAACTTTTAAACTATATGATAAATTAAGTATGACACTTTTCTCAACTTCAAAATTTAGAGTCACTCCTTCAGAAAATTTGTGTGTGTGTGTGTGTGTGTGTGTGTGTGTGTGTGTGTGTGTGTGTAAGTGTAAGTAAACGTGTAAATATGCCAGTACTGGGGACTTGAATTTAGGGCCTAGGTGCTGTCCCTTAGCTTTTTTGCTGAGGGCTGGCACGCTAGCACTTAAGCCACAGCTCTACAGCCCAGAAGTTTGGGGGTTTTATTTTTTTATCTTAGAATAATTATTCTGCATGAGGATCTCTGTAGATCTCTAGAGATACAAAAGATCTATTCCTTAGCATTTTTCATGGGAAGTTGAGCAATTTTTTGTGATGTATGAAACAAAGTACTACCAGTTATATTTGTAAAATGAAATCTATTTCTTCCCATATTTGTCCTTTACAATGCACACTAAATGGTATTATTTTTTCCTGTATTGACAAATGAGTGAATTTTTAGGTTCAGTTATATATTATGTCACTTCTATCGAATATATTTTCTTTATTTTTAGTCTGTATCTAAAATTCTAGAATCTATACTTTTTGATAAACATTAGTTATCAAAATAGTTAACTGTTGACTTATTAGTGTAGATTTTTCTCTGGCTGCCTTACTTTGTTAGCACACTACCTTTTTTTCTGTTTTTATTGTCAAGGTGATGTACAGAGGGGTTTCAGTTGCTATTTACTTTTTTGTTGCTGGGAATTTAACCCAGAGCCTCGAACATGCTAAGCACCTATCCTACCATTGAGCTACACGCCAAGCCCCACGAATTATTCCTAGATCACAAGTTAATGTAGGTTTCTGACAAAGCAGACATTATGTTACTAAAGAGTATTGGCATATGTATGCTTTTTAAAGGTTTTTCTGTGATTTAACTTCATCATTTATAACATTAAAACTACAGTACTGGCCTCATTGTTCCCACACATAAATAATATAGATGTTTCTGGCAGTAAAATACATGGCATGGGCTTTAGCCTAATTACTCCAAGTTATCTCATAACCTAATTAAAAGTTAAGGTCAGACAGTGTCTCAGAGGATGTGTTTTAGAGGAAAAGACACATATAACCGTGAGAACTGAAGTCATCATCCTCCACATTCTGGCTGCAGAGAATTTGATTCTTCAGTGTGGAAAAAGGCAACATTTTACTGAGATGGAAAAAAAATCTGTTTTGATTGACAACTGCTCCCAACACTCAGTAGACAGAAGCAGGAGGCTCAAGACCAACCTGGACTGCATAGCAGGCCCAAAGCCAGCCTGGATGTATAGCGAGACCATGTCTCAAAGTATTTTTTTAAATCTTTATATCAAAATAGACTATTTTGGATACTTTAAATTTCACTTCTAATGTATAATGACATCATATTATCTCATAGCCAGAAATACAGTTAACCTGCTACCTCACCTAGGTCTAGGAATCTTGGGGGTGGAGAGGTGTTATGCATTTGATTTCTAACATATTCTGCTCTCTGGAGAGTTCAAAATAAACGCTACAAGAAAATGTGAAACACCGCATAGATGCTGGTAGCTCACGCCTGTAATCCTAGATATTCAGGAGGCTGAGATCTGAGGATTGCAGTTCAAAGCCAGTCCAGGCAGAAAAGTCCATGAGACTCTTATCTCCATTAAACTACTCAAAAAAAGCCAGAAGTGGTGTTGTGGTACAAGTGGTAGAGTGCTAGCCTTGAACACAGAGAGATTGAGGGACAGAGCCCAGGCCCTGAGTTCAAGGCCCAGGACCAACAAAAAAAAAAAAAAGGAGAGAAAAAAAAGAAAATGTGAATGAACACTAATGAAATATTGATATGTTCACGGCATTTCCCCCAAAAGCTTTAACTATTGATTTCTTTTCTTTCTCTAAAACCTATGTAGTTTGACATAATTAGATAGTGATTTAATGGCCTCCTAATGTTGAAGTTTAGAAACCATTTCTAAGCTTGAATCGTTCGATAGATATAGAAATTCGCTAGCAGTGAGGCAGGCCAGCTCAGATTGGCACCACATCCTCACCTGTTCTTCACGCGAGATAATTAATGTTTCTGCCAGATGCTCGCTCTCGTTGTCTCAACCCTGGCTGTGCAGTAAATCACCCAAGGCGTTTTCAGTGCTGATGTTTAGGCCGTGCACCACTGTCCCCTTCCTTCCCAAGATTGGATTCTGTTCTTAACTCTGGTGTCATTTTTTTTCTTAAATCAAGAAACCCAAATGATTCTGATGGGCAGCCAGAAACCCCTCCCTCTTATGTTGTAATGCCCCTTCCCCGAAGCTCTTGCTAGTCAGTCATAGTCAGAACAGGAAAGTAGGAGGTTAAGAGAAGACTTCAGATTTTGGGAGGGAACATGCTTATAGTCTTTGAGGCTAGTTCTGGGCAAAACTTCTATGGCTTAGCTAGCTTTATGCCTTGAGAATTAGAAACTAAAGGAACAGATTCCTAAACAGTAGCCTGGTTGCATAAACTCATTAAGGCTGGGAGATTTATGTCCATTCTAGAATTAAATACTCATTCAGGTGGAATCACTCCATATTGTCTACCAATTACTAGCAATCTAGCTGTACATCTGCAGCGCATAAGGATGTGTAACTGACACCCAACACATGTTATCTGGTAGATCCTGGTCGCTCCAGGTCTTCCTCACCTCAACTAGTCCTCTGCCTATAAAAGGAAATTTCAAGTTAGATAAGTAAAGGCATACTTGTAACACAATAAGAAACGCTTGTCTTCTGGTTTTTGACAGATGCTGGGGCTGGCCCAAGGATGTTTTGACTACACCATTCCATATATTAAAGAAAGGATACAATTTGGCAAAAGAGTATTTGATTTTCAGGTATATTAATTGATTCAGCTCTTTCTACTGTTCTAGACTTTCCCCCTCTTCCTGTTAACAAAGAGTTGTGTTGAAGAGCCACAGAGGGAATCCCTTGAGAAGATTTTAAGGGGAGAGGGAAGAGGAAACGGAATAGGTTATGAATGCCTTCCTCTTCTCCCAGAACAGAAGCATAATCGTGGAGACTAGCTGTGGCATATCTGGAAGGTCTATTTACCCATCTCCTCACTGCTTGATTAGTACAGCAGCAGGTCTTGAGTCAGACTTGGGCTCAAAATCTAGTTCTTCCAGCAAGGCGCTGGTGGCTCAGGTCTGAAATCCTAGCTACCCAGGAGGCTGAGATCTAAGAATCTCAGTTCAAAGTCAGCCCGGGCAGGAAAGTCCGTGAGACTCTTATCTCCAATAAACCACCTAAAGACTGGAAGTGCTATGGCTCAAGTGGTAGAGTGCTAGCCTTGAGCTGAAGAGCTGAAGGACAGCACCCAGGCCCAGAGTTCAAGCCCCATGACCAAAAAAAAAAAAAAAATCTAGTTCTTCCGCTTACAGATTGAAAAACATGCAGCAATTCCTACACCACGCCATGCTCATAAAATAAATTTCAGATATGTCAAGGAACTAATGTAAAGAAGCACAACTTTAACAATCATAGGAGGAAGGAAATAACCTTTATGACATCAGGGAAGAAAGAATTTGATAAATAAGACAAGATACAAAGGATCAGAATTAGTGAATTTGACTAGAAAATATATTTTCCTCAAAAAAAAACCTAAGAAGACAAGGAAGAAGATACTTTGTGCCTTTTAAGCTTCTGGGTATTCACAATTTTGCACATACCATTGATAAGAACAATCTGCAGGATATTTGCAAACAGTGTTATTTTTTTCCAGTTTATCCCTCCTTTTTGTTTAAGAAATTCTATTCCTGGGTTAAGTAATTACCTTAATCAAGATTCCCTGTAACCTCTATCCCACAGTATTAAAATTATTATTACTATTCTTGTCCGTCATGGGGCTTGAACTCTGCGCCTGGGCACTATCCCTCAGCTCTTCAGCTCAAGGCGAGTGCTCTACCACTTGAGCCACAGCAACACTTCTGGGTTTTCTGAGTGGTTTATTGGAGATAAGAGTCTAACAGAGTTTCCTGCCCTGGCTGGCTTTGATCTGTGATCCTCAGATCTCAGCCTCTTGAGTAGCTAGGATTACAGGTGTGAGCCACTGACACCTGGCTTTAAAATTATTTGTTTCCTGCTAGACTCCATAAGTCATTGGGATATAATGTACAGTGCGACACCTCCGTTGCTTAGTAGAGTAGAATGGGTGCACAATAAAGGGCTGTGGATAAGTAAGGAATGGGAGAAATTTTAGCCTATAATAAATAGCTCTATAGTTCTCATAAGTTGTTTATAACTAAATGTTAATATTCCTGCTCTTGCTAAGTCAGTCTTTTTTGACATTTAGTGACAACTATCACTCTAAAATTACAGGGTGGTAGTAATTTTAGGGCAGTTTTTATTGTTCATCTTTAAAAATAGAATAACTGGTAACTATTCTTAGATATTTTGGTAGAGCCACATTAATAGAGTTGTTACATGAAGGAAGAAATTGGTTCTTCAAGTAATACCCCATTGCTTTTGATGTCTTTATGCCATATGCAAAGTCAGAAATTTCTTAACTCAGTTAAATAAAAAATATAGTCAAACTGGATATAGTGGCTCAAGGCTGTTCTAACTGCTGGGGAGGTGGAGACCAGAGACTGGGACATCAAGGTTTCAGATAACCTAGGCATAAAAGGTTGCAAGGTGCCATTTCAACCAATGGCTGGGCATGGTGGCCCGTGTAGACCTGTTACTGCTGCTATGGAGAAAGCAGAATGACCGGGCACAACGGTGCAGGCTTGTCATCCCCAGAAACAGGGAAGCACGGTAGGAGCCTCACAAGCCAGGCTGGCCTGGGCATAAAATGAGGCCCAACCTCAAAATTCACTAAGGCAAAACGGGACTAGAGCATGGTTCAGAATGCCTGCCTAGTAAAGTGTGAGGTCCTGAAAGAGAACCCCAGTACTGCCTCCCTCCAAAAAGAAAGAAAGAAAAAAGAAAAGAAAAGAAAAAGGATATAAGCAAACATGTGCTCTGCTGTGATTTTCTTTTTCTTTTTTGTTGGTCGTGGGGCCTGAACTCTGGGCCTGGGCACTGTCCCTCAGCTCTTCAGCTCAAGGCTAGCGCTCTACCACTTGAGCCACAGCGCCACTTCTGGCTTTTTCTGCTTATGTGGTGTTGAGGAATGGAACCCAGGGCCTCATGCATGTAAGGCAAGCACTCTACCACTGAGCCACCTTCCCAGCCCTCTGCTGTGATTTAACTTAAGCTTAATTTTGATCATAAGGAAAGCTGAAAAAAATTCTTAAATATAACAGTCAAGTTTTTAAACCTAACTGCAATTTGTTATTTAATTTTTTTTTCCGGTCATGGGGCCTGAACTCTGGGCCTGGGTGCTGTCCCTCAGCTCTTCAGCTCAAGGCTAATGCTCTACCACTTGAGCCACCTTCCCAGCCCCCTGTTATTTAAATCTTAACAAATGATGAAGGATTCCAAGAAATTTTACATTTTTCTAAGAAGATTCTACAATACCTATAATGTTTCATTTTGTTTTAGATTGCAGATTTTTAAATGTTTAATAGATATGAATGTGCATTTTTTGTGGTATATCTCAGGTGTCAGTGTTTAGTATCCTCATTGGACTGAGAGATAAAGTGTGTTAGAAATCCTAATTTTAGCTGCGGGCCGGTGGCTCATGCCTGTAATCCTAACTATTCAGGAGGCTAAGATCTGAGGATTGCAGTTCAAAGCCAGCCCGGGCAGGAAAGTGTATGAGACTTTTTTTTCTTTAGTCTATGAGACTTTTATCTCCAATAAACCACTTAGAAAACCGGAAATGGCGCTGTGGCTCCGGTGGTAGAGCGCTAGCCTTGAGCTGAAGAGCTGAGGGACAGTGCACAGGCCCAGAGTTCAAGTCTCATGACCTACCAAAAAAAAAATCCTAATTCTCTCAACTTGGGCCTGAACGTTACAGGGGCTCCAACATCAGGTGGCACACATGGCTACCCAGCTGGAAGCTGCGAGGCTGCTCACATACAACGCGGCCCGGCTCGTCGAAGCTGGGAAGCCGTTCATAAAAGAAGCTTCTATGGCCAAGTACTTTGCCTCAGAGGTAAGAGGATTCAAAAAAGGAATCCAGCCTTTATTTTTTCACCTTTTCACTTAAGAGTGCTATTTGAACTTTGGTATTCTTCAAGTAAGACAACATGGCCTTCTCACTTTCTACAGGAGAAAAGTGAAGGGTCTGTAGGAAAAAGCTTTAATTGTGTGTGATCAGGATGCTCCCATAAGCAGCCAGTTCAGGGAGACGCAGCCTCCTCTGAGCCATGGCTTCAAGGGTGTGGTTTCAGGTTGACCAAAGTGAATGCTGCGTTCATTACAAGAGCAAATAATATGTAAAAACCCCAAGGAAAGAAGGCTAGGCTAAATAGTTTCTGCACATATGTGTGCTATGTCATACTTGAAACTTGGACTAAACTATATACTCAACTCACAGAGCATCTGTTTCCCAGCCTTTGCAGTATGTCTGATGTACTCCAAGGCCTTAAGTACTCAGGGATAATCTCTCCAGTCCCTAAACCCAATGGCTTACCTGGACTTCTCTATCTGCTGCCTCCAGCCTGTCTACACAGTGCTCAAGTCAGAAACCCGAGGGTCGGGACACACCACCTGGCTTTGGTCCCCTCACACTGAGTCCACGTACCCCTAAAGACATCTGAATTTACATGTTTAATTTGTATCCCCCCCTCATCACCTGTTTATTTATGTGACCTACATCCTTCCTGACGGGTGGCTTCTCACAGCAGATGGAATGATACTGGTACTCATTTCCGATCGTGACTATCGCAAGCAAATTACCAAAAACATTTAGTAGACTAAATGTTATTAGTGCCCATTTCTGCAGGCCAGACTCTGGAAGGAGTATCACAGAATCAAATGGGTTTCATGAGGTCAGCAGAGCAGCCTTTGAACGCTCCTGGGGAAAATCCAGCGCCAGCTTCTAGAGGAGGCTTGGGTCAATCCTTGACTTGTAGACTCTCCATCCATCTTCCCGGCCTGCAATGTGGAATGCTGAGGAGAAGCCAACTCTTCTGCCCCATTCTGCTGCTGTTCCATGACCCTCCTGATCATCTAGGATAATCTCTTCATCTCACGGGCCTTAATTCAGTCACAGCTTCACAGTCTCTGCTGCCCTGTAAGGCAGCATATTCAGGTTCTGGGGATTCGTCTGGGACTTCCTTAGGAAAAGACCACAATGTTTAACCTGTTTACCATTCTCCAAGACCCCTGCCCTCCTTCTCTTCTCTCTACTTACCCCGACATGGGCCCATGGCCATCTCTGGGGGGGCCTTTGGCTCTTTCACCCCCTGAGGCGTTTGTTGAAATGCCCCTAACTCAAGCTTTAAGTCTTAGCCAAGCTGTTTCCTCAAATAGGTCACCATCTAAATTACAATAGCTTTCCTGGCAAGCTCTTCTCTCCTGTGCATTTTATCCATTTCTGTGCTTGTTGGTTTGAAGTCTGTCTCTAAATGACCAAAGGGGTCATATCTGCCCATCCCTCATCAGAGGATGTGGTATAAAAGAACATCCTTGAGAAATATTTGCTAATAAATGGCAGCCAGTCAGCAGTCTCATACGTGTGACCAACACTCTGGTTTTCTTCAAAAATTCTGTGAGTTGATGGGATTTTTTTAAGAAAGCCGTGTGGAGAAGGGGTTAAAAGGACAACACCAATTTATAAAATAGCTCCAGTGCTTCCAGTTGCCTGTAAGTGAACCCATGTTGCTGTAACTGTATTTATAATGTGCAAGCACTATGTCCTCAGCCCGGAGTCTGTGACTTGCTCTTGGTAGATTTCAGGGATAACAGCAAGTAAATGCATCGAGTGGATGGGAGGAGTCGGCTACACCAAGAATTACCCTGTGGAAAAGTTCTTCCGAGATTCAAAGATCGGTAAGTAGTTTTTTCTATTTCATTTTATTTGCCACTGTGTTTGGCCTGTTGGTTGATTTTATATATAAAAGCAATTTTAATCTCATCACTACAAATTGTTTGGCTCTTCTTTTGGCTAGATTTTTTTTCCTGTCTCTTCCTAGCAGAAAAATAGATTTGTATTTTTAAAAAACATTGAAATTGGCTTTTAATTTTTTTTCTATTGTTATTATCAAGGTGATGTGTAGAGAGTTACAGTTCCCTAAGTCAGGAAAAGAGCCCATTTCTTATTGGACAGTGTCACCTCTTCCCTCACCCTCCACTTTTTCCCTCTCATCCCCAATTCCCGAGTTGTATAGTTCATGTTCAACCTCGTGTCCGGTGAGTACCATTGCTGCATTTGCAAAGTTGCCTTTTTAAATGTCCCAGCAGGCCTTTTAGTAACAAAATCTCCTATGTTCATTTTCTTAACCAAAATTATGAAGATATTCTCTTAGTGTAGTTTAATTCTATTCTTCGCAGAATTGTCCTACTGTCAGAAGCTAAGTGCCTAATCAAGCCCACACAGTCCGGTGTTCCAATACCAGAAAGGAAAATAAGTACTCTAGCTCCAAAAGCTGTCTCAGCCAAGCCTCTGCACTGATAGTTTAAGCAGTCTTCAGCCAGGCAAACCTGACCAGGAGCTAAAAGCAAATGGAAAATTGTGATCACTTCATCAGATTTACTTTGTCCAGTAGTTGCATAGTCTGGACTTGGAATGGTAGTGTTATAAGTAATAGTTTTTTTAGCAAATACAATGGTGATATTTATGGAATTCATCTCTTTTGTGTCGGTATGGGTGTGGGTGTTGGTCCTGGGGCTTGAACTCGGGACCTGAACTCTGTCTGTGAGCTTTCTTTTTTACTCAAAGCTAGTGTTCTACCACTTGGGCAATGGCTCTACTTCCAGCTTTTTGTTGGTTAATTGCAGATATGAGTCTCATGAACTTTCCTGACCAGGCTGGCTTCGAATTGCAATCCTTGGATATGAGCCTCCTGAGTAGCTAGGATTACAGGCATGAGCCACCAGCACCTGGCTGGAACTTATCTCTCATACTTAACAATGGGTCTAGTACTAATCCCTCTCTTTGCTCTCTTTTATTTAAGGTACCATATACGAAGGAACTTCCAATATCCAACTGAACACCATTGCAAAACACATTGATGCAGCTTATTGACACCCATCGAGTTGAGCTCCTTCCTGGTCACTGATTCGCCATTGCAGACTACTGTGCCTTCTGAGGGAGTGGGCTTCTACAATACCAGAGGGCCCTGAACCTCAGGCATGTCTTTTGCTTTTTCCTCCTTTCAGTGCTTAATTTAAGCACAAGAGATAATTTCTAATACCGGAAAACAAATATGCTCATATTTTCTCTAAAACTTTAAAATTTTGCACAGATTTATATTATCATCCTAAATTTCAGAGAATATGGAGTTTCAGCCTTTTGGAAAATGAAAACATCTGAAGTATTACAGAAATGGTTACTTTATATTACCATTAAATCTTGATATTGTATCATCAGTCAGAGAAGCATTGGTTATCATGAGCAGTTTCTATTTAATACTTTACAGATTCAGTTGTAAGTTGCTAAATGAGGTATAAACTGATAAAGGAACTGATTTGGAAAAATCTTAAACATCTAGTTCTCAATATCAGGGAATGAGCAGAAAATAAGAATATAACTTTATAGGTCATCTAATTGGCACAGATACAAAACGAAATAACAACCACCAAAAAGAAAACTTGATTTTAACCAAGTAAAGCAGTAGTATAGTGCTATCATTGATCTGCATTTTCATGGCTGTTTTGGCAGTCATTTTAAAACCCGTCTCTACCTTAGTTTTCAACTATAAATAATTTGGTTTGATCAGAAAATATTTGAACATTATAGTATTTATCCAATCATGCATTATTTGTAAATAGTATGATCTCTGTGTTTTAACTGAATAAATTTTTTCTCAAACTTGGCTATTGGGCATTATTTAATTTAGAGTAATTAACTCAGAAATTGGGTTTTGGTTCAGTGATTCTCAAGGAAAAAAGTAGACTAACTCTATAAAGAAGTATATCAGGGCTGGGAAGGTGGCTCAGTGGTAGAGCGCTTGCCTTGCATGCATGAGGCACTGGGTTTGATTCCTCAGTACCACAAAGCAGAAAAAGCCGGAAGTAGCGCTGTGGCTCAAGTGGTAAAGCACTAGCCTTGAGCTGAATTGCTGAGGGACAGTGCCCAGGCCCAGAGTTCAGGCCCCACAACTAGACCAAAAAAAAAAAAAAAAGTATATCATCATCTTCAAATGGATGGGGGAGGTATATTATATTTGAGAAGGCAAATGGTAGACACAGCCATAGCCTTTGAAACTCTATCTTGAGTTTGCGTCTGATGGAGAATCTGAAGCCTGTCGTTACTTTAGTTAAATCGAAGGTTGGGTCTGATATGGGGCTCAAAATTTAAAGAAGTGGCCAGATGCTGTGGGGGAGCTGGACTCAACTCATCAAGCCAGTTAATGTTGTTAGAGATTTCGTTGGATGAGAGAGTAAGTTACTGAATCAGCGCAGAGCTGGGGGGGGGGGTGGCATTTCTTCATATTAGGAGTGCTCAGTCAGCACAGTCTACTCCAGGTGTCCATACCGGTCCTCTGTTCTCAGACTGGGGAGGCAGAGCATAGTCACGTGACAGCTTCCTGTTTCCTGACAGAGGAGCATGGCTTAGAATGAAAAATGTCCCAGGGCTCATACAGCTGCTGAAAATCACCATTACTGTTAAATGGGGAGCATTTTAGTATTTTAATGAAAAAATGGAGTTTATTAATAAAACCTGACATTTTCAAAGTCATTTTGCCTTGCACATTCATGTTTATTGAATTGGATTCATTTCTGCAATGCAAATCATAGTTAAATATTCAAAATTGTATAAATACAATTGAGGTAGGAATTACATTAAAACATTAGGTAGAAATAAGGGCAAATTTAGATCTGGAATCCAAAGAGATAAAATTTACTTGACTTACAAATAGGGAATGATAAAAAAAAATTCCTCGTCCAGACTTGGAGAACAAAAAGCATAATCTGATCAACAGGGTGGGTGAAATGCTGTGGAGGGGCCTGGACACTTTAACCTCTGTGATTGTGAATGACAGCTAGTAGAGTAGAAGCAAGTAAACAGAATACCAGCATCTACAGAAGCAAGTAACAGTACGGCAAGTGTCATGTTCAAACTCACAGGAGCAGAGAGCCTGCCCAGACATCTGGACTTTGAATGTATGTTTGGCAGGTATATTCTGTATATGTTCACAAAGGACTGTTAAAATTAATGGTTACTGTTTAAGGACAGAAGTTCAAAGACAGCCTGGGCAGAAATGTCTATAACACTCATCTCCAATTAACTACCAACAGAAAGCTAGAAGTGGAGCTGTGGCTCAAATGGTAAAGGGATAGCACCCAGACCCTGAGTTCAAGCCCCAGGACTAGTGCCCGTACACACGCGTGCGCACATGTGCACACGCACACACACATGAATGAATGGTTATTATAGTTACTCTATGCACCTGCCTTGTGTTGGTGAACTATCCTGTTGTCTTACCAAAGCAAATGCCATGGGTTCTCCCTGTAGTTTCTACACTAAAGGTTTCCTTCTCATACTAAAACTTTGGGGTTTATCTTGAAACTATCTTTTTTGGAAGGGGGACACTGGGATTTGAACTCTCAACCTGGAGCCATGCCCCTAAGCCCTTCAAACTATCTCGAGTTTGAGTCTTGTGGAGAACTGGAAGCCCATCATTACTGCTTGGTAAATTGAGGATTAGACCAACATGGAACTCAAAATGTAAAGAATTAGCCAGACTGATGTGGATGGAGCTGGCCTCAGCCAGCAGCCAAGTTATTATCTTTAGAGACAGTATAAATCACTTCCAGGCAGTTAAAACGAGGAAGGCCTTGGAGCCTTCCAGCTAAGTATCTCATATGAAAGGATTTGTAAACTAGGTTACTTTCTCAAGATAGTCCATCTGAGGCAAAAATTCAGGATGTATACTTGTTTTATTCTTTTTTTGTCAGTCATGGGGCTTGAACTCTGGGCCTGTGCGCTGTCCCTCAGCTCTTCAGCTCAAGGCTAGCACTCTACCACTTCAAGGACAGTGCCACTTCCTGTTGTCTGGTGATTAATTGGAGATCAGAGTCTCACAGACTTTCCAGTCCAAGCTGGCTTTGAACCTCAATCCTCAGATCTCAGCCTCCTAAGTAGCTAGGGTTACAGGCAGGAGTCACTGGTGCCTGTCTTAATCAATGTTCTTATTAAATACAGTCCCTGCTCAACAGGGTTTTCATCCTTGTTGTATTTTGTTGATTTATTCCATGTTGACCATTTCAGAAGTGTTAGGACCGATCGATGGCTACATAAATTAGTCACTTGCCAAAGGCACTGGCATTTGGCAAACACTCCTATGTCACATGTGAAGATCATTGTGTGTGATCATTTGGCTGCATTGTTGTATGACACGTTAGCTCATGCCTTAGTTATATGCCTGTCATAAAGTGAAGGCTTCATTTTAATGACATATATCAAACTGTATTTATTGTTAGAAAATCAATATTCTGTGGAGAATGAAAATATAAAGCACTAAATTATCTGGAGACGTTTGCTATTCTAATAAAGTAAAAATTGTTTGTTGCACATTCAGATGAGGGAAGAAAATAATGCAATCTTCTTGCAAGATGGGCACACCCCCTTTGTTTGCCAAGCTGATAGCTCGCCTCTCATGTACGCCAATTTTCTTTGTTTTCAGAGAAGAGGCTTATAATGTAGACGAGGTTTAAATTCATGATGCAAAAAAATTTTTTTCTAGAAGACTCTATTTTTCCCCCGTGGCAATATAAGCAGCTCTTAAGTAGAGAGGTCACCTCTTTACAGTGTATCCTCCCTGTGCAGATATTATCTGGCTGATACTTACACCCGTGTGTTATAGTATTGTTTTTGGAAATTTATATTACCGAACACTTTATTCAGTGACACATGGCAGTCTAAAACCATAGGAAATATCAGCTTATCTCTCCCTTTTATTTTCTACACATTTTAGAAAGCTAGACAACCAGTCCTTTTTTTCTTCTTCTTCTTCTTGTCACTCAGCAACATGTTTAAGTGGTTGCTATGTCCTAGGTACTGTGAGCTCTGAGCTACCATTGCAAAGATGAGCAAATAACTTCACTTCAATGTGTGCCCGGCTCACTGTCTTTTTCTATTAGTGTGCCCTTACAAACATACAGGGTACAAATCTCCCAAGGTCAACTCTATGCACATAGTTCTTTAGCGCAGTTAGAATGATAGCCAGCACTAATACCTCTTGAGCTGTAGCATGTGCTAGCCATCATCCCACACTCCTGACACAAACTCTGAACTGACTGACATGGGGATTCCATTTTATAGGCAAGGAGACTAGGGTGTGGAGATGCTAAGTAGGAAGGTACCCTGGTGCGCAGCAGGGATGGGATCTACCGCAGACCAGTTCCCCTGCTTTCACTCCTTGGGGTCTTTGCGGCTTTTTCCTCTTTAGGAGCTATTCAATAAAATGCAATCCCCAAGTAGCCTTTATTAGCTGGTAATTCTTCATGAGTGAGGGTGAGGGTTTTTTTTTTTTAAGCAGAGAAGTTAGCTAAAATAAAGGGCCTGCAGCATAGATGAATAGATGTGGGAGCAGGTGTGTTTGGGGAGAGTGGAAGAGCAGAGGAGAGTTAGAAGTGTAGCTCAGCGTGAGCACATTTGCCCAGCATGTGTGTGGGGCTCCATCCCCACATCACCAAAAAGAAAATAAGGGAAGGTGGACAGAGTGACGCAACGATGCCGTCCAAGAGCATTGAAAAAAGAATGGAGGAAAGGCCCCAGTGTCATCTCTGGGAATCCACAGGAACATTCTGGATGCCAGGTTTGACTAGATCTGAGGAAAAAAAAGAAAATAATAACTGAAAGCTTCCCTGAGGTATGAGGAATGACAAAAGAGCAGAATTAAAATCATCAGTGGTGGCTACAGAATGTTTGAATTGTAGTTATTGGCAGAAATAGCGCACAATATAAAAATAATAACTAGGAAGTCTAATCTGAGGATGTTCAGTGGTAGAACTCTTGGCTGGCATTAGTGCAGTTTCCATTTGATCCTTAGCACCATAAAAACAAGGAGGGAGGTTCAGAAAAAAAAGGAAAGAAAGGAGAGAGTGGGAGGGAGGGAGGTGAGCAAAAGGAGAAAGGAAAAGAGAAGGAAAAGGAAAAATTGTAAGCAGGGAAAAGTAAGTTGCAAATACACATATACATATTTATAGATGCAAATGGATTAATCCTACCTACCAAAAAGAAAATGTGTTCACATAAGGCAAAAGAAAAAAAATTAAGTTCCAGCTACATAAAATAGAAACACCTAATGTAAGAAAAGAAAAAGGGGGAAAGATGAGCTCAACAGACGAACAGGTTTTGTGCAGTAGGACAACCAAGTTTTCAGCCCTGCTAAAGCGGATGTGGCATCCCGCCTTACAACTAGGGTCCCTTTTTTCATCAGGCAGAAGAAGTGAAGTCAGGCAGGGAAGATGGCAGCAGGGTGAGATGGGGTAGAAGAGTGATTACAAGGTCTTAACAGCATCTGTGTCCACCAGGAGTGCCAGGCATGGTCTTGGTCTCAGGCTCTATTCCAAGACTGCACGGTGCTTTTGTTTTGGGGAAGGGAAGGTATGGCTGTCAGCGGGGAGGGTGAGTGCTTTCAGGTTTTTTTCCATCACCTAAAACAAATCAGTAAAGAAAATTGGAAAGAGATGGGAAAAGGGGATACAAATGAACAAAATCAAAAGTAACAGCAGCAAGGTTAATATCTAACAAAACTGTACTAAAGACCAAAGTGACAAGGTACAGTGATTTATGTCTATGATCCTAGCTAAGAAGGTAGACTCAGGATTAAGATTTGAGGCCAGCCTGGGCCAAAAGTTCATGACA